GTTACTTACATCATTCCGATAACTTCTTAAATCAAAAATATGTCTCTCGTTAAGTCAATCAAAGGCAAAGATCAAGTTCTTCTCGACGGTTTTCGTTATCGTCGGGATAGATTAGTTTGGCGTTGTGGAAAAGATAATTGCAAAGGTCGTGCTCGTTACGATGGAGTAATGTACGAAATGTGTCAGGATCATATATGTCAAGCGCCAGATCCAAATGAAATTGAAAAAGCTGTGTTCAATCATGAAATTAGACAAAAGGCAGAACAATGTCATGATCCACCAAGATTAATTATTCAAGATGCACGGCTCAAATTATCTTCAGATGCCGCTGCTACTATTCCCCAATACACAGCATCACAACGTGCAATTCAACGTATTCGACAGGATAAAGATATTCCAACAGAACCTAAAATATTTGCCGATATTGTAATTCCGCCAAATTTTCAAATTACTGTTACAGACCAACAGTTTCTATTATATGATAATAATAACCATCATCAAAGATTATTAATATTTGCTAGTACCGAACAATTAGATCCAAAATATGCAACAACTGATTTGAAAAAGCGTCCGAAAATGCGCTTGCTACTGTAGTTCCTCAATGTGATATATTTGTTTGTTTTTTCCATTTCAAACAGTGTGTATGGAGAAATATTGGCGTAAGTTTATTTTAATTATGAGATAGTAAGTGGAAGTCTTGTTTTGCGCTATCTATAATAGTTTATCTTTTTCTAATAGGAATTACGTTTGGGAAAAGAGTTTCTTGAAAGTGCAGATAGTCGTCACACAATGAAAAATTTAGTCGCATTAGCCTTCGTTCCACAGCAAAATGTTATTCAAGAACTTACTCAAATAAAAGAAAATGCGCTAGATGTATTAGATGTTAAGCAGAAGAAAATGTTACTATCCATCCCAAAATACAAGACCGGTGGGCATTTTTTGAATAACTTTTGATAGGAATGAGATAGAGACCTGCGATTTTCGCTGTTCAGTAGCCAAGACTTGAGCAGAACTTTTCACAAGCGGAAGCAACTTTTGAAAACATCCCAGAGATCGGGTTTTCCGAGGATCTTTGGAAAACCAGCTCCGCTCTCAGAAAACTAACATACAATCTTAGTAATTTTTTGCATGCGTAGATAGTTCGGAAGTTACTCTACAAAATTATGCAAGTCCCGGCTCTCTAGCTATCGTCGTTCGGGCAGGGCTCGCTTTCCCCGAGCACGC